TGTAGCCTGGTAAGTTCACTAGACTTACCGTTTTAGCCTGAGGCTGTCATGGTGACATGGCCCCACACAGGGTAAGTCCCTGAGCTCCCCCGAGCCTCAAGTCTCATCTTGAAAATGAGGCTTTTACCATGTGCTTCACCCCACAGGACGGCTGTGTTGGTCAAGATGGATAATTAGTGCATGTGAGAACAATCTTCAACTGCAAACTAACACACAGATGTAAGGGAGTGCTGTGTGTGGGTACACGGGCACAATGGGTAGATTCGAGACTTTCCTGCCATACCCACCTGCAGGATCCCTTCAGCTCCAAGTTTGTGTTCTCTTTCTGCCCCACACCCCTGGGAAAGCAGCCCCCACCGAGAATCAGCAACAATTCAGAGCGGCTGTGTTGACCAAGTCTTTTCAGGAAATACCATGTCAATTCACCAGGTAGGCTGGAGAAGGCCCGAGACACTGGATACTTTAATTCCTGGGCTCGTCCAGATGCCTCTCAATTCCTTGTGTAGCCAGCTCTGAGCTGCTTTTATCTTTGGGCAGTGAGGCATAGCTAACACACCTTCCCTTCCAGAGCAAAGACACTTCTTCCAACTCTTCCCTTCTGCCACTGTCCAGGTCTTCAACTAGGCATTGTTTAAATCTTGGTAGGAAAAAGACAACCTAATAGCTATGTGAACCTTTGCCCAGGACCTCAATCACCATCCCACCTTCCTTCCTTTTCTTCCAATCCAACATAAGAATTCCGTAATCATATCGATTTTGTGCCCAAATTATACGTTTAACTTCTCCAAGTCTTTTTCCTGCCCTGATCTCATTTTGTCTTTACAAAGCCTTGTTAATTACACAGGACGGGCATTGCAATGCACAGAAGCTGGTCAGGATATTGATAAAAAGGGGTTAAACAGAAGACAGAAAAGCCTCAAGTGTCAGTCAGCCTTCAAACTGAACTAGAACCCTGGACATCTGACCCCTGTCACAGAGTCTTTTTGCAAGATTGTATCTCTGTCATTCATTAGGAGACATTCAAAGCCATTGGCTTATAGACAAAGTGCTAGCCCCAGGCAGCCTCAAACCAACCCCAACCAAAACAAAAGGCATAGTTCTGTCAGCCAGGGCTCCTCAAATTCATTGTTCTGTGACTGGCTCCCACAGTTGGTCTCAAGCTACAGAAGATATAAGAGATAAGAGCTTCACTCCTCTAGAACCACAGAGGCCAGTAGGGGGATCGTATGAAATCCAGTAGGGTTACCCAAAGCAACAGCTCTATCAGAGTTCCTGTCCGGTCTTCTATCGTGATATACTCAACTCCTCCTGGCCTCAGGCGTCCTCTTCTTCTTCAGGCCTTTGCCCAGCATACACACTCCTCCTTTTCCTTCCACCAATCTCACTCCAGTCTTGACACAGCTAGACTTTTATTTTTAGAACTTTTGGAACAGAGAAGAGCTATTGGGCATAGAAAGAAAAAGGAAGGGATAGGCCATTTTGGCCCCTGAAAAACTTTCTTCCTGAGGCCTTCCTAATGCCTCTTTACCTTTTACTTGCTTAAACACACACACACACACACACACACACACACACACACACACACACTCACACACACACACTCTCACACACACACACACACACACACACACTCACACACACACACACACCATAAAAATCACCACTCCTCAATCCTCCATGTGGCAGGTTTTTCCACAGCAGTGTCTAAGTTGGGCTTAAGGTCATAAGGTGGGATGGAAAAAACCCAGCGCAGCTCCAGAGGAGTAGTGAGCTAGAGAGAACACACCCTGAGGTCACCTGCTTGTTCAGCACTTCTTCCCTGTAGCTCTGTCAAGCACTTAAGCAGCATGCACTGATTAATCCTGTCCCCTTCAGAGGGAGTCAGTGGGGCCCTGAGGGGTTAAGTGACTTATCCAAGACCACAAAATGCACAGGCTAGAATGGGACCTGGGCCTTGCTGGCCTTTGCGCCCAGTGGAAGGTTCATTCTTCCTGATGAGCAACACTAGACCCAGTTACACCCAGAGGGGAAACCAGAGCTGTCAGCTTTGGCCACCGCCATGCCAAAGGGCCATTTTCCAGAGATTGGTCTCATTCCTTCTTCCCATCACAGGTAAGTCATCCTGATCCCAGGAAACCATTCCTGCTGTCTCCTGCTTTCAATTTCTTCATGTTCCTTCCTCCAGGCTTAAGACCTAAAAAAGAGGCTTCTGACAAGCTAAGCCTGATGCCTTGTCCTCTTCCTTTTCAACTCTCTAAAATCAAGTTAAAAGTCTGCTCTCTGAAATCACCAATGGATGGCCCTGTGGAGAGGCCCCTCTACTTACTGACCTGAGTTAAGTTATTGACGGGAAGGCTGAGCACATCAGCCTTTCTAGGTTGAGGTAGAAGAGATGCCAGCCTGGGTAGGGAGTGGAAATCAGGGGTCAGGTAACTGCCAAGGGCTCTGCCCACTCTGAGGCAGAGAATTTGAGGGAGACAGAACAGCAAACCCAACCTCCCTCCCACCTAGGCTATTTTATCATGACCTACTCTGTCACCTTTTCAGTAAAGAGAGGCAGTGCTAGTAATAATAATAGTAGCTGTAATAGACTGAATAATGGCTCCCCAAAAGATAGACATGGCTTAGTATCTGGAACCTGTGAACATTACCTTATGGCAAAAAATAAATTAAAAAGGATTTTGCAGCTATAATTAAGTGAAGGATCTTGAGATGGGAAGAGTATCCCGCATTATCTGGGGAGACCCCAAATGCCACCACAAATGTCTTTATTGGAAAGAGACAGAAGGAGAGTTGACACAGAAGAGAAGGTTATGTGACCATGGAGGCAGAGAATGAAGTGATGCAACCACAGCCAAAGAATGCCAGCAGCCACCAGGAGCTGGAAGAGGCAAAAAATGGATTCTCTCCTAGGACTTCCAGGGGGAGAATAGCCCTGCTGTCACCTTGATTTCAGCCCAGTGACACTGATTTAGGGCTTCTGCGCTCCAGAACAAAAAGGAATAAATTTCTGTTGCTTAAAGCCACCCAGTTTGTTGTTTCTTGTTACAGCAGCTGCAGAAGCAAACATAATAGCTAACACCTAATGACTCCCTACTATGTGTCGGGCATTGGACTAACATGTTACCCACATAAATGCATTCCATCCCGGCCATGGATATGAGGCCTGAGCTGAGCAGGCACGCTGCCTGGGTTTGAATCCCAGATTCACGGCTTACTGTTGTGGCCCTGAGCAAGTTGCATAATCTCGCTAAACCTTTGTTTCCCAAGTCATAAAATGGGCATACAGTTACTTTTCTCATTTGGTTGCTAGGAGGATAAAATGGATAGTAGGTAAAGTGCTTAGAACACTACATGCTAGCTGTTATGAGATCTCAGTGGTTGAACAAGCCAAAATTAGACCCTCATCCTAATCTGTCAGGACGTGGACAAGGGCAGGAAAAAAGATGTCCCTTTAAAGCCAGCTTGAATAGCAAACATGATGGTCTGAGGAGTTAAGTATTTCTTCCCTTAATTAAGCAATTTAGTTCCTTACACTGACCTCATTTCATAAAGGGAAAATGCCTGGACTGTGCTAATTCTGCAGCATCGCCCAGCAGACTTCCAGGCCCCTATCTCCCATTCTTAAGGAGAGCAATGCGCAGCCATCATCCACAGGCAGAGCCTAGTTTGCAGCATCCACACCTGACAGACTCCTGTAGAGCCCACACATCTTCTCCCTGCAACTCTGGCATCAGGAACTGAGAGGGCCCTGTGCTTGGAAGCCAGCGGGAGACAGAAACATCAGTCCATATTATGGCCTTCCAAGGCCACTCCAACCTGTCCCAGCAGGCTGGGTGGAATGATAAAATCAGAGGTCTGCTTTGATTAAGAGGTTCTAGCCAGCTTAGTAAAGAATCAACAAGGTTTGCCCAAAGGCCTTGGAAGAGAAACCTAGAGTTATCTTCTGAAAAAGGAGGGAGAGAAAAAAAAAGTTTCCTTAACTTCACCCTTCCTAATAAAGTTTGCCCAACCTCCCACTTCAGGTGATGTAACTCAAAGAAGCAGCACGCCACAGGACCCCAGGCTGTCCGTCCCCACCTAAGAAATTTGCAAGCATCCAAGGGAGAAGGAAGGGCCTGACCACTGGGCCTTGGCTTCCTTCTAGGCAGGGTTCCAGCCCCACAGTCTTGGATGCCCAGCTTCAGAAGACTCCTGCTGCTACTGCTGCTGCCTTGTGCTGGCGACCAGGCCTCTTCGCAGCAGGCAGCAGGACCAGCCACCTGCGCTCTCGCTGCACTTTCCTACCCCACCCTCCATGGGAAAGAAGGATGATGGAGGACAGCTCCCCCCTCCTTACTCTCAGGCACCCACAGATTTCTGCACTGCCGTCACCACTGACGAGAACTCCGGTCCCCTGGAAGAACTGCTTCTCCTTATTCCTTCCTCCGTATCAATGAACACGCAGCAACACCCACGCTCCTGCTCCTCCCACTCCGGTGGGAGACCGAACCGGAGAGCAGCATCCGGACCTGGAAGCCGCTGCGGTGGGAGCGCCGGCTAGGCTGCCCCGCTGTCCGTTGCCCTCTCGCAGCCATCAAGAGGATTCTAAGCTAGCCCTGAGTTCCGGATCGAGAGGGTACCTGAATCCTCCATGGGGCCCCGCCTCCCCGGGGGCTCAGCGGTTAGCGGACCCCAGCTTAGCCCCACCGGCGGAGGCCGGGCGTTGGGCACGGTTCCCGGGACTCGAACCCGGCGCCCTCTCCCTTAGACATGCCTCACCTTCGGCATCCCCAGCAAGCCCCCAGCCCAGCGCTCACGCGCGGCGTCTTCCCCCTGCACCCCCACGGCGAGGACATCAGAGCCGGGCTCCTGTGCGCCCATCCCGCCCTCCGCAGGACGTGGGCACGGGGGAGCGCGCCGCCCGTCCGGCAGGCGCGGGGAGACGAGCTGGAGCGAAGCCGAGGGTCGGGCCGTTTGGGGCGGGAGGGGTCGCAAGGGCTGCAAGCCCGGCCACTTACGCGCGGGCTCTGGGAAAGCCCATGGACAAGAGCACGTCCAGGGCGGATCCATGCTTGATGGTGCCGGGGCGCTGCTGGCGGTTCCTCCGCGGGGTGACTTTGCTGTACAGCTCTTCTCTCGCGGCCATGCCAAGCGGGGTGGGGTGGCTGTACTGAGCCATGGCTCAGAGGCCAGCCATCGCCGGGGAAGGTGCCGGAGCCGGATCGTCCCGGAGGGAGAAGGGAGCTGGACTAGGGTAGGGCAGGGGGCGGAAAGCCGGGCGGGAGGCGGCGGAGAGGGCGGAGGCGGCGCACAGAGCTTCCCGGGTGTTGAGATTCTGACGCTTCCTGGTGAGGCCACCGAAGCCAGAACGGCCCGCGAGCAGCTTCGGCCGGGCCAGCAATTCAGCTCCTCGGGCCTCCGGGTGCCCCCAGCGCGGCGCCTGCAGCAGCTTCGCTCCTCCGCCCCCTTCCTTCTCCTCTCCCAGCAGTCCGGGAATTTGCAATGAGTAATTTTTGAATGGATCAAAAAGGAAAAAGAACCTTGTGGGCAGGCCCTGCCTTGCCTGTGCCCGGGCCCCGCCCCTCTCTTAAAGCTGCCGCTTCTAGCTGGAGGATTGGAACCAGCGTAGGCTGCCTGTGTGAGTTGGGATCCGAGAGTCGCTTCCAGCGCCTCTACCTTCTCCATGGCTTGCATATAGGGCCAGATGGGCCTCAAGACACTACTAGATCAATCAATTCAAGTTTCAAGTGGTTCTAGATGGGGTTAATAATGAAAACTGAGCGAATTTGTGGATGACGTTAATGAACTAGAAGGCCAAGTCAGAAGTCCCAGATAAAAGGTTTTGCTTTCAAACGATCCTGCAAAACCTAGAGGATTGTTATGGCCATCGAAGGCCAATTTCATCAGCCAGACAAGTGGCCACAATGAAAACCTAACATGCTCTCCATGACTAAGATAGTGACGTCAGGGTAAAGAGTGGGACCTCAGCCCAGCCAAGTGGCTCAGTTGGTTAAGAGTTGGCTTGGGAGCTTGAGCTCTGAGCAGCAGGGTACCCCTGGTTTGGTTCCCACATGGGCCAGTGGTGCTGCGCCCTCTAGAGCTAAGATTGTGAACAACAGCTCAGCCTGGAGCTGGGCTGCCTTGAGTGACCCACCACAGAATAGGCTACAGCGCCTACTGCAGTGAGCAGAGATGAGTGGCCATCCAATGGCTGGAGACTGACTGCCTCAGCTGGGAAGAGCGCAATGATCATAATACCAACATGGGCCAGTGAAGCAACGTCCTCCACAACTAGACTGAAAAAACAAAAGGGCAGCAACTTGTCTGTTCCCCTCCCCCAATTCCCCAGTAAAATTTAAAAAAAAAAGAAAAAAAGTGGGACCTCAAGCTCTCAGTTCTGGGAGAAGAAAGGAAAAAGAGGGAGAGGTCAGGGCAGAAACAGGAAGAGAAAAGAAGATGGAAGGGGGAAGGAGGAAGAGAGATAGGAAGTGGAAAGTAGAAGGAAGGTGGAAGGAGAAGGAACAGAGAAAGCACACTTTCTAACTGTAAGAGGTATTCAAACGGAAAGAGTTGATTTTCGTTAGAGAATGAGTACCCTGTCAATAGAAGGATTCAAAGAAAGACTGGATCATCACTGGTCAGCAATGAGGAATAAGTGAATTGCTTCATTGGTTGGACAAAACTACTCCCACCTCAAATAAGATGGGCTTCCTACCCAAACCTACTCTCCCAGGCCCCACACCATGAACTTGACTGAGGAGTGTTAAGGCTCTTTCATTCCAAGATAAACTTATTGCACTCAGAGACAAAGGCCCCACTTGGTGTAATGGAAAAGGCACAGAGTAAACCCTAGCTGCTACCCTTTTTCAGGTAATGATAATAATAAAACCTAACATTTATTGGACTCTTCTATGTGTCAACCATGGTGCTAAACATCATAAATGGATTAACTCATTGAGGTTTTACAATGACCCTGTGGAATGCATATGATTATGGTCCCAGTTTTACAGATGAGAAAACAGCTCTGAGAGGTTGAGGAAGATCCTAGAGCTGGTAAGCGCATAGCCAGAGCTTTTGTCCACTGTGGTACTCTGGGCAAGTTGCTCCTGCCTTCTACAGCCCCGTGTCCTTTTCTGTATACATCATAGTACCTCCCATTACACACGCTGGGCTCTCCAAAAATGTCAGCTCCTTCTCCTGTCTGCAGTGTGGGGGTGGGATGGTGACCACACTCATGAGCAGCGTTTTCATGTTGCTTTACAAGGCATCTAAAGGTTTTACCAGGGGAAATGATACAGCTTAATTCTCCTAGCCCAGAATTGGTTTTCTAAAGACTATCCAGTGGTATTTGGAGTGGGGTGATAAGGACTACTGGGGCTTAAGCAACAATGTGCATAATTCTGCCTCAGGCTCTGTAAGGGATGAGGAAAAGTTCATACTTCCTGTGTAGAAGCTTCTACCAGAGCAGAGGAAGTGTGCTGGAGCCTTGTAGAGTGCTTCTTCAGGTAATGGAGCAAAGAGACAGCACTGGGCTGGGAAAACAATACCTAGACAACACCTCCTTGGGATGCGTTCAGTAAAGGATGCTGGACCTAGGGCCGGCCGAGTGGCTCAGTTGGTTAAGAGTTCACTCAAGAGTTTGAGCTCTGAGCAACAGCAGTTCGAGTCCCAGCCCGAGCTGAGCAGCCGCTGAGCTGCCAACAGGTGTCAGGATGACTTAGCTGAAAAAAAAAAAAGGATGCTGGACCTTACCCAATATTCTGAACTTCTACTTCTTTCAGCCTGGGCTGAAAGTCAAATGATCTGGAGCCTAGTCAAGAGCTACTAATGCCTGTGGAAATATTTTGTAAACCATGAGCACTACACAAATAATAGCTCAAATGTATTGAGAACTTAGTATATGCTGTTGCTGTTCTTGGGTTCTTACACATATAACTCATTTACTCTCTCAACAAGGCAATGAAATATTAATAGGTACTACCATGTTATCATCAGCAACTTTACAAATGATACTGAAGCAGACCAAAGTCAAGTATCTTGTCCAAGATCATATGGCTAATATGTAGTAGAACCAGGATTTGAACTCTTAAAATTTGTCCAAACAACCATTTATCACCACTGTTAAGATGATGAAGAGATGCCAACCATTAAAACAACATCGTGCCCTTTTGACTCCTTTTATGCCCCTTGACATAAAATTGCTGGATCTCTGTTTCTCCAGAAAAATTGAATTTATTATCTTTATAAGGGTGGAAGAAACTTTTCTCTACCCTCAAGGTTCTAACAGATTAGCAAGAGAAAATAACCAAATTTAATATGTATGTACACATGGGAACCCCACATAAATGAGATCCCACATACAAGAGAGTTTCAAAGTCACAAAGGGAAAATGGGTATCTAAGATATTCTGAGCCAGAGATGAAGTAAGGTGCCTTGGGAGCTTCAAAAGGTCATTGCAGGATGATAAGAAGGACAGATGTTCAGTAATGAGAAGTTTGCCTTGCCCTATAGGTAGGTCAAAAAAGGTTATCTCTGATAATCTCTTATTATGGACAAGGCGCCTTATTCAAATTCTTCTAGGTAGTAAAGGTTGGGGGCAGGGGGCGGAAGCTGTTCTTTAGTCTGATCCTAAATTTGCCTTTAATTCAGAACAATCTGTATGCCACTGAGGCGCATCTTGGAGTGACTTGCTCTGAACCCCTATATCTTTCTCCCTGCTGTTAGGCAAACTGCGAGAGGAAATGATGGATATAAAAATAGTTTTAGGTAGACTGGAAAAAAAGCACTGTGGAAAACCAGACACCTTAGATGTAAAACTGTTTTGTCTGGGACTTGCAGGAATCTCAGCCTGACTTCCTCACCCTTCTTCAGCTCAGTGCCAGCACTCAGACTTCTGCCATTTGTTCTGCAAGGGATAGAGGGACTGACAATTAAGATGCATTGTGTTTTAATTGTATTGACTTTGAAAAGCTAGGGGAAGCTTTATAAATGCCCGTATTGTTATGTTACAAAGAGAAGAGAAATGACTATGCATCTGACAAGATATCTGATGACAGTAGTGGGAAGAGTGAGGCATGAATGGGGCCTTGCAGAGTGAGCAAGCTGACACATCAGCATTAAGCTACTTCCTCAAAAGGGTAAGCAAGTGATCATGTATCCCTGCACCAATAGGTCAAGTCAGAATCCACCCTGGGCCACAAACCTCTTTTTGTTCCTGTGCACACTGTTTAACTCCACCTGCACTGGCCTCAGACACTTTTTTGGTGTGTTAGCCCTTCTGAAATGGCCACAGGGATGCCCAGGATGGGGACCCAGTTAACTGAACTCATAATTTCTGAAGTGTATCCTATGTGTTTTCCTTTTCCTTCTCTCCACCCTTGAGAAAAGTTAAATGACTGTATTAAGAACAGGCAGTCAAGTCTGCAGAATGTCTCCAATTGAGGGCTGGGATGGTGCCGTGCAAATGAAGGTTGTTTTTGAACCATTAGGAACTTTAGTCCCTAGACTTCAAAGGGATTCCTCATGGCCAGAAGATTTTGAAACCCCTTGGTAAAGTAAAAAAGGAAAGGCCATAGGAAGGCTCCAGAAATGGGAATTGGGAAGCCTAGGTGTTGACTGTGACTTAGAAGTGTTCTCTGCTCCTCTCTGGGTCTCAGCTTCCTCACGTGCCAAATGAGGGGGTTGGCTTAGGCTGGGGATTCATAGGACTTTGTCAGAGGACCCGCAGGGACTCTTTATAATAAGGGTTGCAGTTACTCAACTGCATTTGATTGAGTGAGTGGAGCATGGCATCTCTCTTCTTTTCAGAGCAGGCACACGTTGTGAGCTTTATGTCTTGGGGGTTTATGTTTGGTTTTCTGTGAGAAGGTGATTTAGAAGATCAAAAAACATTCTGAAAAGCACTGTACTAGATGATCTTAAATGCCCAGTTTAGTTTTGAATGGCCATAACTTAATAAAAAGAAAAGTGAAGAGGAATGGAGCAGGATTGGTGAGAGGGGGAAGAGGTTGCTGGGAAGGGAAGAGCAGATGAGGGGTGGGTTGGGGAGAGAGATTAGTCCTCTACACAGATAAAATGTTAGAGTGAAATGGACTTTAAAAAGTTATGTTATTGGGCCAGCCGAGTGGCGCGTTGGTTAAGAACTGGCTTGGGACGCAGGAGGGCCCCGGTTCAGATCCCACATATGAGGGCCAGTGACACTGCCCTCACAGCTAAGATGCTGAACAACAGCTCAACCTGGAGCTGGGCTGCCGTGAGTCACCTGAGACGGCTTAGGCTGCAGCTCCTGTGGCAGTGGCTTGCCATGGGC